ATCTGGGCTGAGTGTTAGTGATTCAATAGCTTATGAACTAAAATGTTAGTACACATTGATAATACATCAAAACTAACCTAAAGATCCTCCTCTTTAATACTGTTGATCTATCAATCCAGCAAATTTATAAGAATGCTTCACTGAATATTTCCAATAATAGGCAACTTTTCTTGATAGCCTGCATATTAATCGTCAAACCATATGCATCGTACTTCCCTTATTATTAACAAATCAATCTTAAAGTGACTCCATTCTCGTGTATTTTTGGTAGGGTGTAAGCAAAAGGTGCCCTAGAATACCTTTGACGAAGTGAATTCATTTTCAACTTCTCAATTTCTCCTTCGCTTACACAAACGTTAAGCAATTCCCTAATTCTGACCTTAAGACTCTCTGTGAGATCCTCCACTTAAAGTCTGTATGTTTATTTGTTATTTAAATGAAGCATACTTTTTCCTATATAACTTACTCTACCCATGATGACCACTGCATTCGCTTTATCTGCCTTCAAAACAAACAGATCATTTTGATGCAAATATCTAAAAACTTTATTCAAGTCATAAGATTCCTTTGGAATAAATACCTGATCAAAATGAGAAATCGCTTATCTTTTCATGGTATTCTTAGCCTCTTCTGGTAGCTTGTCCGTTAAGTTAATTAACTCAACCAGTATCTCCATTGGATGATTTTGCTCATTTGGAAAGGCAAAGTTTAGACCCTTTTCCATGATGAGCGTAACATTAGCATCTATAGGTATACTGTATAAATAAATTACTTTATTTTTGCTAGAACAATTAACACTAAATTTAACTACCTTTTTATTGTTTCGACGATTCCCTGAACTAAGGGTAATGCCTAAATTCTTTAATTTTTTATCATGTCGGTAGCTGTGGAGCTTATCCATCCTGTCCGCCAGACCTTCAGCCATATTCTGTAGGTTAATAAATTCTTTAAGATATTAAGACAAAGATGTTGTGGCCTTTGGTATGGTCGCAGTCTCCTTTCGATTTAGAGAAGTTGGTTGACCTCGTTGTCGCAACTTGGTTTTGTTGTCAGGGTGACTTAGAAGAACGCATCTAGTCTGAAGTCGTCTGCCATAGTAGTTGCCATCAGTGAAGTTGGTACATTCTCAAACGTTTCGCCAGCATCGTAGTCGGCATCATCCGTCCGTTTTGCCATTCTCCGCACAAAGCTAGAAACTCGTAAAAGAGACAAGTGGAGTCAATCCTTTCACCAACGTTCTGCCAAAAACAGTTACACTATCACTCCTCTTTCTGTTCTTGTCGAACGTTCTTTCTGCCGAACATTTGTCGAGGGATTGACTTCACTTGTCTCTTTGATAAGTTCGTAGCTTGGTGCGAAGAATGGCAAAGCTCACTGATGATGCCGACTACGATGCCGGAGAAACGTTTGAGAATGTGTTAAATCCATTGTCTGATGCTGGGAATCATGACAACTACTATGGCAGACGACTTCGGACTATGTGCGTTCTACTAAGTCGCCCTGACAACAAGACCAAGTTGCGACAACGAGGTCAACCCACTTCTAATAAATTCTTCTTAAGAAAATACCAGAGAAATAGGTTTTCTAGTTCTTGTTTGGGTTCTAATCAGGCCATGTAATTTGTGTATGCTTTTTTTTAATCTAGTCTTAGCCAAAACACTTGATACCTGCTCCAGTTTTCTATTAGTGGAAACAGGTAAATCTGGACGTATACCAAGAATACAAAATCTATGTACTAAATTGTGTAAAATAGTAATTTTTTACATTCTAATAGTATTGACTTGCTGAGATATATATTTCTTGAATTTCGTATAGACATAAGAAAACTGATAAGAATTCGTACCATACGTACGTAGCATATGCGAATAAAAGTCGAGGAATCTCGCGGTTCAATACTGTTGAGATTATTTACATTTAGAGTGAAAGAGTTTGGTGAAAAGATTCGAAGGTCGATTCTACAAGAAGACGACGGCGGATTCCTCTTGACCAGCTGTCGATCGGCCTTAATGGAGCACTCATGATGACGTTGTTTCATAAGTAATCTCCTTCGACTCCAGTGAAAACGTGTTAAGCTTTCGTCCGTCATATGCTGGACATCATCAGAACAAGGTATCATCCTTACCACCAAATTCAAGCTAACAAATCAAGAAAACTCCCCTGTCCATTCTTAAAAATCCTTATATATACTCTATATCCGGCCTCTTAAGGAGATCCCCTCTGAAACAGCGTCACGATGACTGTTCTAGTAAAGCCAATCGACAGCTTGTCAAGAGGAATCCGCGGTCATATTCTGGTTGAATTGACCTTCGAATCTCTTCACCAAACACTTTCACTCGAAATGGAAGTAAACTCAAGAATTATGAAATAAAATATTCCTTTAAATCCAACTTTTTTTCGCAAAAACATAAACATATAACACCATCATGAACGAGCGAAGAGGATGTTGAGAAGCCTGCGCAAAGGAAGCGACTCAACTAGCATTTCTTGTCGAAGATATGAAGAAAAAGGTGTGGTCTTTTGTGTGGTCGCAGTCTCCTTTCGTTGTATAGAGGTTGTTTGACCTTGTTTTCGCAACATGGTAATGTTGGTAGGAAGACTTAGAGTAACGCATCTAGTCTGTAGCCCATTGTCTGCATGATCATTTCCAAAGTTGAACCGTGGACGTGGTACATTCCCAAACGTTTCGCCAGCATCGTTGGCATCGTCTTGAGTATCGCCATTTTTAGCACCATTAAACAACTCTTCAAAAAAACAAGCGAAGCCGATCCTTTGACCAAACGTGTGCTAAACAATTGTGGTATCTCCTCTTCTGCCCTGGATTATTCGAGTTTCCGGTAGCATCCTATCATGTCATCATTATAACAATTTTACCGTTTTTATTCAGATATAGTGTGGCGTGCTCCTTTGAGCGACATGAAACCATTAAACTCCAACTGTCGCTATCTCACCCTTTCATCCTTGTGCAGGTAATGCTGATCAGAGTATACTTTATTATTATACAGTCATCTTTCCTAGTCTTATCCCAGTCTCTCTCTTGGTCCGTAAAATCATGGTGCTCTACCCCTTGTTCACCTATTTCACTCGACTCCTGCCACCACATCTATCCTACTTGAGGTGTTATTCTCCCTCCCCTGCGTCTGGGTGACTAATTCGAGGTGCAGGCCTCTAAGTGTAATGGTCACCCCTTTGCTACATGTACCATTTGGCTAACAATAGACATGTTTGATCATAAAAGTGATCATGGAATCACGACTATTGTTAGCCAACTAGCTCTAGCTTCCACTGTTTCTATCGTCTTTCTATCCTTAATACCAAGTCTATGATTTGCCATGCCCTAGTCTCTTGTGTGCCAACCAACAAATGTTGTGGTTCAACATTGAACCAAATCAAAACAAGCTGTACCACAACATTTGTGGGTTGTCACACAAGAGACTAAGGCATGGCAAATCATAGAATTCGTATTAGGGATAGAAATAGGATAGAGACAGAGGGGACCGGAGCTAGTTGTCTGACGGTAGATCTGTTGTACCAGAGACGTGGCACATGTAGCAAAGGGGTGATCATGACACTCAGAGGCTTGCGCTTCGAATTAGTCACCCAGACGCAAGGAAGGCGAATAACGCCTCGAGTAGGACAGATGTGCTGGCAGTAGTCGAGTGAAATAGGTGGACAAGGGGTAGAGCAAACGGATTTTACGGAACAAGAGAGAGACTGGGATAAGACTAGGAAAGGGGACGGCATAATAATAAAGCAGACTCTGATCAACATTCCCTGCACTAGGATGAAAGGGGGGGTGAGAAAGACATTTAGGGTGTAAAGGTGTCATGTCGCTCAACTGAACACCACATTATATTTAAATGAAAACGGTAACAAATTGTAATAGTGAAGGTATGATAGGATACTACCGGAAACGCGAATAATCCAGGGCAGAAGAGGAGATACCACAATTGTTTAGCACACGTTTGGCCAAAGGATCGGCTTCGCTTGTCTCTTTGACGAGTTTTTGTGGGGTGCTAAAAATGGCGATCCTCATTGACGATGCCGACTACGATGCCGGCGAAACGTTTGGGAATGTACCACGTCCACGGTTCAACTTTGGAGATGAACATACAGACAATGGACTCCGGACTAGGTGCGTTCCAATAAGTCTTCCTACCAATAGCATTTATTGTGTTGATTCTAATAACGATTACTGTTCTATACTATTTATTCCAATCTTTCTCCCTCACATGAAGACAAAAGCTCGTCATCATGTACTCCACTTTGCGCAATCGGAATGATGATTAAAATATAAATAAAAAAGGGTGGTGGCGGCCATCAAACCTTGATTACCAAGAACAGACAGTACTTCTTCTGTTCTCCTTACTTTGAGCCATTTTTGAAGGCTTCGTACATATACGAACACATGAAAGCACATACAAAACTCACAGAATACGCTTTCACATGCTTCGTGGTTGAGATATGACTTGAACTATTCGAATCACCTTATGCCTTCATCAAATAGCAAATATATAGGATATATATACGGCAATTAGGGATGAACCGGTGAGTTTTTTTGACTTATCAGCTTGAATATGGTTATCAGAATAAAATATAAGAGATGTATTTATTCTAATTCGTTTAGGGTGATAAGGGACTGGTAGTTAAATTTTTCCACAATTATATGAAAAGACATGACGTTTCCATTTAATTTCACATAGCCTCGCTTTCCCAAAAGGTATTCTTATCCAAGCAGCGGTGGACCACGATGAGCTGCTTTTGATCCACTTTTGAGGCATAATTTCCATCTTACTAGACTAATTTGAGAAGAGTTAGGCTAGATCGATAACTTTTTGAGAAAACTAGACCATTTGCCGTCGTCTGCGAAGCCCTGCCACATACGACTGAATGGCATCCCACATTCCTGTGACGCATATACCATGGAGCAATGTTCATCAGGAGATTGCATTTTCCAGAGGCCGGGAATTCAATGAAGAGATGGACATAGCCGTCCCTAACTACCTCGTGGATAGACGCATCCTCAAGAGCATAGAATTTACCAATTTGGCCTACATTGAGGCATATGTCAAAAAGTGCCCTGCCAATGTCGACCGATACTTCTACTTGGAGACATTTACATCGCTTAGTCCGATGGCCTGTAATATAGTCATAGCTAATTTGTTAGGATTTGCACTTCTCTATCGCAGCAACGAAGCTGTGAAGCTACTACTTACACTTGGATCAAAACCCTTGCAGCCGGCATACTTCATTGACTGGTCCATTGTTGCTGAAAGTGGACACAAAGTAATAATTCATGAGGCCCCAACTGCCATCCTAATTGCCAGCAGTCTTCAAAGAGAATCAAGATCAGTAGTCATTGAACTCATGATAATATTTCGAGACTCTGACCTTGATTTTCAAACCCCAGTAGACATACGGAGGCAACAACTAGAGCGACCAAACGCCTCCTCCTGCAACTTGATTCGTTGTTCAGATGTGTGGGAATGCCTTGATAAAGAAATAGACAAGTGTTCCGAAGAGGTTCAGCCAAAGTTTAAAACATTTCTAAAGGAATTAAAAGCAGTTTATCGTATTAACAAGCTAGACAAACTGAAAGAAATAAACTGAGATTGAGAAAAAATGAGCATTTAAAATGCTTATGTTTGACATATTTCTAACTTGGAGAACCTCCTGCGGTAATTTCTTTTCATAAAACTGCTTTTTTGTTTACTGGATAACGAATACTGTTATTATGCTCCTTTTCATTCGCCAAAAACTATTTATTTAACAATCTAGAGGATATCTGATAATCCACAACATTAAAATGTGAAGATTTAGAGCAAATTTAAGCGCTTTCGCAAAAAAATCGTCTCTGCACATTTAACTCGGATTATCCTTTTCCTTAACAATACTTTCATTCGATTTATTTGTGATTATTTGAGTCTTTTGCAACGAAGCTTTCTTATGGTAAACGCTCTGTTATTGTCAGTATTTATTTTATCAATAAATAAATCAGTCATTAAGTACAGAGTCCTCAAATATCATCCATGACTTAAAAAATGTGAACTCATCATTCCTATGCTATAGTATTAGAAGAAAAGTATTAAGTTTTACAAATACCAATTATGAGGTTACGATGCATATTTATTGCTGATTTAATCTTTCCACGTTAGACCCAAAAATACCCCTAGGTCAGTCACAATAACACTTATAAAAGGAATTTAGTTGGGCTCATAATGTAAAATGGCGAAAATATCTGTCTTTTATATCGACAATCATGTTTGCCGAAGTAATAAAATTTGTATAAGAAACTGTTCATCAATCGACAATTGTCCTCTTGTCTAATCTGAATACTTTCTGATATTACGCTACTCAAAAGTGAAGCACTTTAGTAAAGAAATTAAGATAAACAATAGAACTATCGAAGGTATGAAGACCAAGATGGTGTGGCCATTTGTGTGGTCGTAGTATGCATTCGTTGTATAGAGGTTGTTTGACCTTGTTTTCGCAACATGATCATATTGGTAGGAAGACCTATTGGAAC